GTGGACCGCCGCCCCCCACAAGGTACATCTCGCGCCTATGGGCCGCTATAACTATCCAAGAAGACACTCGAAACCGGAAGGATAAACAAACCCACCCGGTGGACTGCCGAGCTACAAGTCCCACGACACGGGAGCGGGATTCTCTAAAAATCCAAGGTCGCGGGTGGCCAAGAGGGCCCACTTGGAGACTTGGGATCTCGAGCAGAAATGCGAAGGTTGCTAAAAGCCGGCTGATAGGCGAAAGCGAATCAACTAGTTTAGTTCGATCTCGAGTAGGCTTATATTGTAATAGGGAATACTGTAACCCTGGGAACCGGGGCCTGGACAAAGTCCAGGGTGGCTCAAAGTTTGATCAAGGAGATCCCTGTCCTGTGCCCTATTCACTAAGATCTTCGAATTAGCCCTTACCGAAAAGCACGGCTTACCTCACTTTCAAGCATCCACTGGATCAGTGATAGAGATCCTTCTTCCTTTAGCGGCTGAGAACAAAGAGTAATCCCAATCCCTGAACGTAGTCCAACCTTCGGTCCTTCTGAAGCCGAGAAGGAGACTCCCAAGCATCCGAGATGCGAAAAGAAAAAGGGACCTTTCTCTAAGCCATTTGAAGTAGACAGGGATAAGGACTAGAGGCTCACTACCGAACTCGATGCTTTGAATAGGACCCACGGGGCGGTAATCTCAGATGCAGCAAAGAAAGAGGAAAGGCAGTTCAGGCTATTCCTATCAAAGACCATCTTTTTCCAAACACCGTATTCTTGCATAAACCGGAGAATCCAATCCGCATCAATCTGGTCAGAATAGCTGAAGCACTTGGTGGATTTGATGAAGACATATTCGAGTTGATATATTTTAGTTTGTGGGTGTGTAGATGAATAGGTTAGAAGTTTAGAACTTAATCTCTTGATAGGCCAATAGATCTTGGGATAAGCGCCTTAAAATGATGCATCTCAGTGAAATCATTTTTCTGCATGAAAAACTAACATTTAAGCATTAAAAGAACAAACTAAGTTTTTCAATCTGTTGAAAAGAAATTTCAATCTGTTAAAATCACTTAAACATAAGAAATGTTCTTATAGATTCGAAATTTCAATTGGTTGAATCGCAGAATCAACAGGTTAAAATATTCTTAATGAATTTTTCAAATATCAAAGGTTTCGCATTTTCAAACTGTTAAAATATTTTTTAAACTGTTGAAACACAGAAACTATTTTTTTCAGTCTAAGTGTTTTTCAAAACTTCAATCTGTTGAAATACTTTTCAATTTGTTAAAACAGAGAGACTATTTTTCTGACTAAGAGTCTACAGGATTTCAATCTATTGAAAGGTTTTTTAAACGATTGAAACAGAGAGCTGTCATTCTTCATTAAGCTATTTCAATCCATTGAAAACACGAATCAATCGATTGAATGAAGTTTTAAATGAAATCAATCGATTGAAACGTCGTTTTAATCAATTGAAATACATTCTGATCGATCATAATTTGATTCTAATCGATCATAACTTTTTCTAATCAGTCATAATGTTGTTTTGATCGATCATTTGCGTCTCTGAATCAGTTTTTATCAGTTTATACGTTCTGGTTCTCTCTTTTACTCTATAAATACAGATTTGATCTATCTTTTGAAATATACAATTTGAGAAAACATTTGAAAGCAATCTTTGAGCAATCATATTCGTGACTTTCTTTGAGCATTTAGAATCTTTTCATATCATAAGGTGCTTTGATCAAGATTGTTGTTAATCAAAGAGAGAAAGTACTGAGTTAGAATTGCTTCTGGACAATTATACTGATAAAGCTTCAGTCCAGGTTTTTTCTTTTCATACTCTTGTGTAAGTGTTGTTGTGTAGATTGGTTTTTGATCTACACTGGTTACAGTAACTGGATTTGGTTACTGGGAGGTTTCAAGAGTCTATCTTGTGGGTTTGTAAGATAGTTCTTGGGGTAGATTGGTGAATATCTACTGGTTGTATTTTTCACTGGAATTAGTGGAACTTGGCAGATTTGTCAAGAACTGGATGTAGCTCTGGTAAAGAGTGAACCAGTATAAATTGTTGTGTTGAATTTCTTCTTTCATCTCTTTTATTTCTTGTCTATTTACTTGCTGTGATTAAAATCAAACCTACCTACACAAGAATTAAATAAAGGTAATTCATTCTTCCAAGAGAAAGTAAGTTTTGCGAAAAAGTTTTCTAAAGTTCAATTCACCCCCCCTCTTGAACTCAACCATTAATTCTTTCAATAGCCCTTCCTCTGCCGTACCTCTGATCAGTTCTTTAGAAAGCATTCCATAAATATAAAGAAAAGGGTGAGAACAGTAGCCTCATTACCAATGAGTGGGTTGAGATCAGGAAAGAAAGAAGACCGACCGGATATTCAACAAAGCAGACTTCCGAGAGAGAATTCTATTTCATCGTTACACAATCTTCTCCTTACTTACTTATGATGATATTCGTAGATCGCATAAGACGAAGATAGTTTGTTTTCACGTAGATAACAGTTTTAGAGTGAATCTGTCTTTACTAGACTTCAGGTTTAGATCGAGTTAGGGGGGAATACCGGGTATAACCAAAAATTCTTGTAATAAATGCTATTCATCAAGGCAACCGGAGGGAGGACAACACAACCTGAATGAAAGCCTTTCAAAAAAAAAAAAAATAGGGTTAGCTAGATAAGAGGAAGAGAATTACATATGTGCTTACTTTACTTGCAGTTCCCCTCCTTGACTATGTCCCAGCTGATTGGTGGGAAAAAAAGAAGTTAAGGGAGAAAAACCTTGCCTCATATGCGATTCCGCCTAACACATTGAACTCTGGGGGAAGAGGACTTTTTGTTTCTTAAATCCCGTATCAGTTGGATTTGAAAAGGGGAGTCCAAGACTATTCATTTCAGTTATCCACCCTTAAACGCGGAAGGCGTAATAGGATTTTAGCCCTTAACTTAAGGACTATGTAGGAAATTTGATATTTAATCACACCAATATCCTTGGCGGCCACATCTTGCGAGATTATCAGAACCTCTTTACTACTGACCATCATTCCTCATATTATTTGATTTAGATCCTTATCTTAGTGGCAAGATGACTTCTCAACAAGATATTAACGCGCTTTCTCAACCTATCTCAGAGGATTCCATTTTTCCTTTCCGTAAGGTCTTTTTTTTTAATTTAATTTAATTTAATTTAATTTAATTTAATTTAATTTAAGGCTCCAGGACCAGATAGGAAAGCATTGAGCTAGGATGACTTCACTACCTTAGTCTATTCACCCTCGGATCAATTCACTGGCTTGCTTACTTGCTTGGTGCACACTAACTTGAATGACTAAAGACCGGAATGGACCAATGCGAGATTGACTAAAGAAGGCCGCCAAGGAAAAGGCAAACTAGAGAAAAAGCCAAGCTGACTGAATGAAATGCCGCAGCTAACTCTGACTCCGGTTTGGTACCTATTCCATATCTGAAGATTGACCACAGCCTAATTAATTGAATGCCTTACCGCTTTAAACTTTGCTTGGAGTTCGATCCGCCTATGAACTCTTCTTCATACGCTTACTCTCTTACCAGAAAGGCAACCCAACGAAAAGAGTCTTAGTCCACCACCGCTTCGTCCCAAAGCTTGGAGATGCCAGGGGCTGAAAAAGTGGGAGTTACAATATGTTCTTCTCAAGCCAAACCTTCCGAATGGAGGTGCTAGGTTTCTCTGGACTACTCTTCTGCCATTACCCTTGACATGAGAGGTATATTGTTACCTTTGATCTCATTTCCATTTTCTTTTTGCAGAGTCTCAGCTCTTTCCTTGAGCCCCACGGGGTCCTCTCAATCCCGCTCTCTCACTTCTTTCGCTATAAGTGTGCTCCCCCTTTGTGCGCAGAACGCCGAGGGTGTTCAAGTCTTTCCCCTCTTTTATCTTATTGATTTCTTTTCTCCATTTCTCACTTGGGTCTAATTATCAGGTTCAAGTGAACCCTCAGTAGCTTGAACCTGGCAACGGTCTTTGACACATCTATTAGCTGAAGAGGCCTAACGCTGGTCTTTTTCTTCTTCCTATGACTAGCCGATGTAGACTATATCCATAGCCTTTCATATGAGTTAGGGTTGTGTCCTTAACGAATTTGTGAAACTCGTTTAGGCGAATCGATCAATATAAGGGCTTATACACCTACCTTTGAATGAAAGAAGTGTTGATTGTATGCCTGAAAAAGAGAAAGAGAAAGAGTGACTTTCGGCGATCTGACGATTGATTGCATTTGGTTCAATTTATCTTGCTTGAGAGGGCAAAGGCAGGAAATAGAGTATGGAGTTAGGGGCTTTCTTAATGGCTTTCCTTCCGGCTTCAATGCTCAAGGCATTTCTTTTTTCTTTTTTTGGATTATGCTCTAGTGTTTGAATCATTTTTCTATCTAGTCGTCTTTCTATTGATCTATTTGTTTTGCTATCATTCAGAGTAAGATTGATTAGTATGTGGATTACGTGGCTCGCTCTCGCTCTTTGAGTTCTTGGTCTGAAGGTGAACGAGCTCTTGGTGTCGTAATTCCTACTCGCTTTCCTTGTATTAGCTACAGCCACCGAAGCATTCTTTCATCAACACGAGTTAGCTATTCTCTGATCTTTGCCTTATTCTTCCTTTTCGTATGTATTTTCAACCGCACAACTGGAACCAAAAATTTCATTGCCTTGAAGAGCCTTCAATTCTTAAGCCAACCAATCTAGTCAATAAAGGGGCGAAGCGGTGTGAACATGGCCTCATTCTATGATGAGTTGGAGGAGATAGCAGGCTACGACGAGGAGCCGCCCTACGAGGAAGACCAAAGGGACACTGAGGTTCGAGAACCGGAGGCCCATGTATATGCACTCATGAATACTTATAAATTCAAAAAATTATTTGATCGTAGAGCAGGCACGTTTCGCCGCTATGCTAAAAGGCTATTCCATTATGGATCACACGTCCAATTCTCTGGCTCAGAAAGGCTTTGGATGTTTTGATCCTTCTTCTCGTTTTCGTCGTCCCGGCATGTTACCTTCCCTTTTTGGAGTACCAGCTATAGTAGTCAGTCCACTGGGTCTACCTTTTGCGTCCCTGGTGAGGTTGGTTCATCGGCCGAGTCCAGTTTAGAATCTTATTTTCTAGTGAGTTATAGAGCATCTAGTAGAGAAACTACTAGCATAAGTAGTTAGACTACCCATACTCAGTTTACGCTGTTCGTGACAACGATGTTCCAGTCAGACCTGTTCTAGAACCAATGAAAGAGAAAAACCCACTAGCGGGTAAACCTGTGCTTTAGCCCCCAGCAATAGATCTAGTGAGACAGGATTTTCCTTGCCTATGTTCCCCCTGAAGTGAGGCCCCACCGAATCGTCTGCTTAGTCTTCTTTCTCTTTCCTGTGCTATCCAAAAGAGTGAGACATAAGTCTAAAGTTATCCCACTAGTAATGTGCACTATCTGACTTGTCCTTGGTACATCTTATATGAAGCAGTATTGTAGCCTTACAAGCTGCTTGAATGGGTAGCGGACTTTCTATCTACGCCGAGTTTTGATGCCCGACTCAAAGCCTCCTACTCTTCCCCTTCCGCGAAGACAACCTCTGCCGCCTAGTCTGCTTGGCTTTGCTTCCTAAAGTGAGATGTCCAAGAGAAAAGGAACGAGGGGAAGAAGCGACGAGAACATAATATCGTGAATGAAAGAGCGTGACGAGACTTTCTCAATTCGAGATGTTAGAAGGTGCAAAATCAGAGATCATCGTCCTTGACTTTTTGCGTGTGCTCAGCAAATATCTATTTGTGCTCCTGATGTTCTATACTACCTATCACACGTTCCTTATGTGCTTAGTCATCTGGAAAAATTGAGGCATCCCATTGGATTTTTAGCTAGGTTGGAACGGGGTCAAAATCACACCCATATTGAAGTGAAGGACCCCCCCGGATGTAGGTAGCACAACATGAAAGTGATCCTAGCAAAGATCTCAGTGATTTGATGAAGTCAAAGATAAAGTCAAAGGTCAACTCTGCAACAGTCAAACAAGTCACTCAGAAGAATGGAGCTGAAGACTTAGTGTGTCTTAACAGAAAGCTTAGGTAAAACCACTTTACCTTTTCCACTGCATAAAGCTTCTTCATTCATTTTGCAAAATGCCTCAAAAATAGTTTTAAACAAATAAAAAACAAAAGCATTTTGACAAAGAACTTTCTTAATAATGTTTTTAACTGATATTGCTTTGAAAGAAACGATTAAAATCACTTAGAATGTTTAAAGAAGTGTTTTTACAGTATTTTAATCGATACAAACTTCTTTTAATCGATTAAAACCCTTTAAAACCCTTTATGACCGATTGGAATTCGAATATGACAGGTCAGAATAAAATATAATCGATCAGACTTTAAAAATGAGCGATCAGACTTATTTTAATCGATTAAAACACGTTTCAATCGATTAAAACCACTTTGGAAGTCAGGATGATCGATCAGAATGAAATTATGACCGATCAGAGTTGGTTATGATCGATCAGAATTGAATTATGACCGATCAGACTTATTTCAATCGATTAAAACGCATTTCAATCGATTAAAATAACTTGGAAAATTTTTGTACAGAGTTTCAATCGATTAAAACGTATTTCAACCGATTAAAACAACTTAGAAAAATTCTGTGCAGGTTTTTAATCGATTAAAACGACTTTATATCAGCTAAAATAACTTGGAAAGTTTTATAAGAAGGTTTTTAAACAAATCAATCGATTAATACGTGATTCAATCGATTGTTTTATACTTAGAAAAAGTTTGTAAAATGTTTTAACTGATATAAAAGTGGTCGTATCAGCTAAAACGATTCTGTTAAAGAAGCAAGAACGCATTAATGGGTTGAAAGGACTTTTAACAGATTATAACGGCTATTTCAATAGATTAAAACAAACTTTCAACAGATTAATTAATGCAGCAGATTTGAAAATTCTCTTTAAAAACAGTTTTGCTTGAAACTTTGAAACAACAGATTGAATATCAGTTTTTACAGAAACAAAGCAATCAATCAAGCAACTAGAGCACTTTTTCCAAGAAAGAATTACAACTATTTTGTGAAGTTATTTTTGAAATCTTTCTTGAGGCATATTGCATCCTTGAAGAAGAAACTTACTGTGGATTAGCGTAATCCGGTTTGAGCTTTCTTGTTTCTTCTTTGTAAATTCATTTTCATTACTTTGTATTGTGTTTGTGCCTAGAATTTGGGCACAAGTTTTCTCTGCAGCTGGAAGTTGGTTGTGGAGGTTATCAAGAACTGGAATTTGGTTCTTGGTAAGAGGTTGAGCACAGGAGCTGGAATTTGGTTCTTATGTGTGGTGCCTGGAATTTGGGCACTGGTTTCTCTGCAACTGGAATTTGGTTGCAGAGGTTTCCAAGAACTAGAATTTGGTTCTTGGTGGAAAGGTTAAAGTCAGGAACTGGAAAATGGTTCTGGTGTTAGAGTAGGTGTAAGATTGTTGAGTCTCTAAAACATCTATTCTAGTGGAACCCAGCTGGAATTTGGCTGGAGACTGGACGTAGCCCTAGTATTGGGTGAACCAGTATAAAATTACCGGTGAAATCTTTCCTAACCTTTCTCTTTTTAATTTCAGTTGCTGCGCTTGTATTGTTTAATTGCTTTGTGATTCGTGAATTGATTAGTAAACTTAATTTTCGAATTAGATAATCTGTTATTTGCGAAAAACTTTCAAAGATCAATTCACCCCCCCTCTTGATCTAAAACTACTTTTCTAACAATTGGTATCAGAGCAAGGTGCTTGAAAATTATTCAAGTCTCTTGATCCATGGCTGAGAACAGATTACCATTTTCTGAGGGGGCATCTATTAACGAGACCTCCACTATTCCGTGGAGCAGATTATCCTTTCCGGAAAATTAGGATGAAAATCTTCATTGAATCCATTGGCAGAAATGCTTGGGATGTTATTACTAATGGTCCTCTAATTACAGATAAAGGATGGTCAAGCTTGAATGATGAGGAGAAGAAGAAAGTGCAAAGTGACTGCAATGCAAAAAATATAATTACTTCTGCTCTTAACATGGATGAATTTTTCAGGGTGTCCCAGTGCAATTCTGCTAAGGAGATGTGGGATGTTCTTGAAGTCACTCATGAAGGGACAACAGATGTTAAAAGAGCCAGAAAGCATACATTGATAAGAGAATATGAGTTGTTCAAAATGCAGAATGGTGAAAGCATCGCAGCTGTGCAGAAACGCTTCACTCACATCATCAACCATTTAATGGGCCTAGGTAAGACCTTTGATAAGGAAGAACTAAATATTAAAGTATTGAAATGTCTTGATAGGTCCTGGCAGCCAAAAGTCACTGCAATATTAGAATCAAAAGATCTGTCCACCATGACAACAACCTCACTGTTTGGAAAACTCAGAGAACATGAAATGGAAATCACAAGATTCAATGAGCAAGAAGTCTCCGAGAAGAAGAACAGAAGCATTGCACTTAAAGTTGAAGAAAATCAAGAATCGAGAAGAAGATAATGAGAACCTTGGACTGCTTGTTAGGAAATTCAACAAATTCCTCAAGAAAAAGATCCAAGACAAGGAAAGACACAAAAGGTATGAGAAAAGAAGCTGATTCTTCTAACTTTAAATGTTATGGTTGTGGCAAACAGGGCCATGTTAGAATGGAATGTCCAGAGAGAAATAAACAAAGTGAAAAGAAAGAGGAAAAATCAAAAAGAAGAGCCTACATAGCCTGGGATGATAATGATACGTCATCAACGAGATAACTCCGAAAATGAAGAAGCCAATCTTTGTTTAATGGCGAGTCAAAATCCACAAACCAGACCAGGTAAGTTCTAGCTCCTCTTCAAATGTAGTTAACTATGATGCATTACAAGAAGCATTTAATGAAATGCATGAAGAGGCTAAGAAACTTCAAAAAGAAAATGATAGAGTTGAAAGGGCTAAATAAGCTGGCTAGTTAACAAAGTTGATTCTCCGGAAAAGCAGATTCGTGAAAATGAAACTGATAAAGAATTCTTGAAAGCTGATTCATGCTAACTCTGATTGTGAATGCAATAAACCATGCAATAAGCTGTCCTGAATTGCAAAAGAAAATTGAATTCTTATCTCAAAGCTGTTTCAAAGTTCACTCAGGGGCAAGCTAATCTTGATATATTACTTGGATCTCAAAAATTAATGTTTGACAAAGCTGGAATAGGCTTTAAATCTAGATCCGAGTAAAACAAAAACAAATAGGAATTCATACTCTACAATCAAATGTTTCTACTTGCATGAAGAAAGGGCATTCAGGTAAAATACTGCAGAATTAAAAAGTATGCTATTCCTAAAGGGAGTATGAAATGGGTTCCAAAGATTAATTCTTTTCAAATAACATGATCAGGACCCAATAATTATAAAGGGTACCAGAAAAATACTTAATTGCTTTGCAGGAACAAGTCTGGGAATCCCTTGAAGATCAGAGCTGCGAAACCAGGTTCTGTGTATTTAAATTAATTGTTTTAATTGATATAAACCAATATTAATCGATTGAAATAACTTACTGTACCATTTTAATCGATTGAAATGTCGAAATAATCGATTAAAGCTGTTCTCGAGAATGTTAGTTTAGTCGTTTTAATCGATTAGAATAAATTTATATCAACTAAAAACACTTAGGATCAAAATTAATCGATTCATTTACGTTTTAATCGATTTAAATACTGGTGATATTTTTTTATTACATTACTGTACCATACAAATCGATTCTTTCATAAAACAATCGATTAATTCTCTGTAGATGTTTACATTTCTCTTAATACTTTACATGGAATGCTGCATGGTAATACACTGAAAATCAAGGAATTATCAAAGAATAGACTGTAACTTTTCTTATAGACACTAGTTACAAACAGGTCAAGCTGTTAGGACTGAAAACATAGTTTATCAAAGATTTTTCAGTGATAGTTGCTTCTGGTAATAAGTTGTTGATTACTAGGAAGTTCAATAAACAAATGTTTACATTAGATTTCTTGATATTACCTAACAATATATGTGAAATAATTTTGGGCATGCATTGGTTCAAAACCCTTGGTGATATTCATTGGAACTGTGCAACTTTGAATATTTGCTTTAATCATCAATGTCACGAGGTGACACTATAAGGGAACCAATCTAGAACAGCAATTCAAAAATTGAATATCGTGGTACAGGGAATGTATGTTTTATGGTCAGTACAGAGATAAATTTTATATTGTTTTAGAATTCTGGATTGATTGTCATCACCTGTCCTCATTACTAATCATTGCCTACTCTACCAGAATAAGTTTTTGTTAATCACTTGTGCATATGATACCACTTGGAAACAACAAAGTTAAAAATGACTCATTCCTCAAAAGATAATGATGACTGGTTCATTATAAGTGAGAATAACACCCATCATACTACATTAATAAAAATACGAGTTATTTGCTTGGATGATGATAACTGCGAGGGTTCAAAATGGGTTGGCTATTTTGAAAGGAAATTCCTATCTCGAGTACATCATTAATCTGTGATTCATGCAATTTATGGTATCGTGCACTCTGTGTGGAATCGATAGTGAATGTACGTACTGTCAGT